AACACCAGCCCTGATGTTCTCTGTCACTCAGGAATCCTCTGCATATTGGGCACAGGTGCAAAAATACAGACTTCCTTATTTAGGCTGGGCTTCCCTGCCCGGTTGCATCTTTCAGGACCCTATTTCTAAACCTCACATGAATTAAAGCAAAAAGCAAGGCTACCACCTCCGCTGGAGAATGCGGGCATCGATCCCGCTACCTCTCGCATGCTAAGCGAGCGCTCTACCATTTGAGCTAATTCCCCACTCCAGTCACACAATCCATCAGCTGCACTTTAGAGCTTCCGGCACCAGAAAGCGTTGTGACGTAGATACCGATTCTTCCCTCCTGTGTATGCGGGCGGGGAAGAACTACATTTCCCAGCAGGCACCCGAGGGGGCAGTCCGCGCCTGCACAGTACCCCATCCCGGCTTGCGGGAGGGGTGCTCTGGCTCATTGTGAGCGCGGCAGCGGTGCGATGGGAAGGGACGGGGCTCGTGCCGGGCGCGCCCCGCGGTGAGTGAGCAGCCGTTGGAACGCGGCGCGGGGAGGGGCGAGTGGCGGGAGATGGGTGGGGCGGGGGCACGCGTGGCGCAGCAGGTGCAGGGGGCAGTGGCTGGGGGCAGGCTGGGCTGCCTCTCCCCAGGGCGGGGAGGAGGGGACCTGGCCTGAGACAACAGGGGTGGGATGGGGTTTGTTTCCCCCCGGGCACGGGCGTGGGGTCGGTGCCACGCGCGTGGGGCTGGCCGGGGATGCCCCCAGGCACCTTGCCAGTGCCCGCGCCCTCCCGGCGGGCGGGCTGGTCCTGGGGCACCGCGGGCAGCGTCGCGCTTGGAGGCACAGAGACATTGGAGTGGGGAGAAGCGGGGCTGGCTTGTCCCAGGCAGGCTGGTCCCTCTCCAAGCTGCTCTGGGCAAAGCCCTCCTCTAAACTCTCGTGCAAGACTGCCTGACAGCCCTGCTGGGACACCACACAACACAGCCTAACACGGCACAAACCCATCCTCTGAGTTCTACACAAGATGCCCGCAGCTCTGACATGACACAGTGCAACGCAAATCCATCTGCTAAACCCCCTGTTGGGCTGCCGGCAGCCCTGGCGGGACACAACACAACATGACACAACAAAACGACGTAACACAAGACAAATCCACCCTCTAAATTCTGCATAAGATTGTTGGCAGCCCTGACTTGACACGACATGACACAATACAGTGCAACAAAACACAACACAACACAAATCCATCTTCTAAACTCTGTATAAGACTGTATAAGCCCTGACACAACACAACAAAGCACGGCACAGCACAACACAAATCCATCTTTTGAACTCCCTGTTGGACTGCTGGCAGCCCTGACACGACACAACAAAACAGCGTGACAATACAAATCCATCCTCTAAGCTGCGTATAAGTGCCAACAGCCCTGACACGACACAAGGCATGACACCCTAGCCTGTCCCAGGTAAAGCAGGGGGTCACAGCAGGGCCTGCTCCTATAAAAACATTTTTAATATACACTAAGAGATTGCAGGTTGAGGGCCATGCCCCCGGTTACAGAAGAAGCCAAAAACCCCTCGTTGTCCTTAACCAGTTTGACCTGGGGTAAAATTCCTTCCTGTCCCAAATGTGCAGATCAATCTGGTCTTAAGTGGAGGGGCAAGACCCTCTAGCCTTGAAACAAAGCTGAGTCCTGGTACCTGTGTGCCACGTGGTTTGGGAATTGGGCAGAAGGCAGCCTAGATATGTACTTTTATATACTAAATAAGATAGAGAGAGGGCACAAGCTTTTGTGAACCCATGTTCATGTCATGAGTTAGCCTTACTTGAGGCAAGGATTTCTTAGGGTAGTGGAGCTCAAGCTTCTTGCGACATGGGCTGGATAGGTGGTGAGGGGCTGGTCCCCAGGCTGGATTTGTGCCGTGCCCTGGGATTGTGCTGCCCACATGGCCCCCTACCACTCTGTGCTGCCCCATACCACACAACTCACACTTGTGTCATCCCTGTTCAGCCTGTATTCTCCATCTGGCACACAGGGCAAGGCCATGCTGTCCCATCTGCTGGGTGCTCAGCCTGCAAATTTGACAGCAGGGGAGCAGCAGTTAGCTGCCATCACATTCTTGGGCCTGTGGGGAGCCCTGCTGGCTAGATAACAGTGTCCTGCAGACCTGATCTGGCCCATAGACTAGGGGTTGAGCTCCCCTGTCATAGGGTGATAGTTTTGATTGGACCAACTGCATGCAATAAAATATATCATCCTAAGAAATCTTTGCATCATGCATATTTCCTGGACCATCATGGCTACAACATCACTCTAACACTACCCTTCGTTGAGAGAAACTGTTCCATTAATTATGCACATGTTAAAGTAATGATGCCAAAATTCTATGCAGTGGGACAGCAAAGCCTGTAATGTAGAGAATTAACACAATTTATCTTTGTATAAAACTGTTTGCACAATTACCGAGACTGTCTTGCTAGGCAAAAGTGGTGATCCATCCAAGCAAGTGTCCTCTGTGATAGAGGCCCATACCAGTTGCCTCTTAATGAGATGTAGCAAATCCAAACCAAAAATAAAAAGAAGCTATAATGCACCTGTCCTTTTTATTCAGATTTAAAATTGCAGTGGTGTAGGTCCACTTATTCCAGTATTGGGGTAGACAGACAAAGTAGTTACATTGGGTCCACTATTGTGCATTCCTGATCAAAAAGTGACCCCCTTCCAAACAGTATACTGCTCTTCTGTCTCTGGCCTAGGTCAGTGGTCATGGCCAGGGTAGGCCCACGGGCCTGATTAGTCATGTAGGGTCAAATTGGGCCCTGGCGTTCAGCACCACCCCCTCTCTGCCCTGTGTGCTATAATTGGGCCCTGGTGGCCTGGCACCACCCTCTTCTGCCCCCATGCGCTCTGGAATTGTGCCCCAGGGGCCTGGTATCACCCCCTTCCTGTCCCCCCACCACTGGTATTGGGGCCTGGGACCCATTATTGCCCCTCCCCACTGGGACCAGGTGTCCATTCCAGTGCATCGGGCCTGGTGCTCCCCATGGGTTGGGGCATTTGACAGCAGGGGAATGGTGCCACCGCTCCCCCACTGCCAAACTCCCAGACCTATGGGGAGCCCTGTGGGCTGGGTGACATGGTGCCAGGGACTGGATGTGGTCCACAGGCCAGGGATTGAGTACCCCTGCCATAGGTTAAGCTTATCCCAGGAGTGGGCAAAATGTGGCCCACCAGGCCATTCTATCTGGCCCGCGGAGCCCCTAAAAATTTTGGAAAGTTAATATTTATCTGCCCCTTGCTGTCTGTCATGTGGCTCTCAAAGGCTTGCCAAAACTCAGTAAGTGGCCCTCTGCCCGAAATAATTGCCCACCCATGGCTTATCCTGTTATTTTGTTGCCTCTTTACCCAATTCTCTCATCTCTGGATTTTTTTAAGCCTCCTTTTAAGAGTCTGAATGAAGTCATGTTCAGTATATTTTGCTATATTGCCTTTCTTCCCTTGTCCAGATTGCTGGACCTGAGGGACTCCAATAAGTAAGCATCTTTCTAAAAGAGTAAGACCCTCCACTAATAAATTATCTCCTCTCATGATCAGTTTCCAGTGAATGAAAGGGTCTTACCTTTTGGTTATTAAGTTTTCTTAACTGAGTGTTTGGGTTTTTTTGTTGGGTTTTTTTTGGCAAAACTTTCTGAGTCTTTTAAACTATCTCTTTCTCCTTTGTGTATCATTATGTCCCATCTTAGGGAATTTGGGTAGATAATGTGACTTTACCTGTACAGAAGCTGTGCTGGCTTCTCCTTAACACCTTTTTTTCCCGTCTTTGTGGGGTATTACAGTTTTTAGTGATGCTCTTTATTTTTCTGAAGTGACAGGAAGGCTGATCAATAAGTGCATTCCCAATACGCTTACATTTCTGAGAGGCCCAAGTATTTTCTTCTAAAATCTCTTTGATGCATCTCTTCTCTTTCACCTATAAAGGTTTACCTCAGCTGAGGTATTTGCCCTGGATATCCCTGAAAAATGAAGGATATGAAAAATGCTTTAGCTGCTGTCTTGTTTTTTTATCCTCTTTGTCTCCTTTGCATCCTACTGGGCTAGAGGACCACATGGACTTGCCTGTTGACCGTTTTTTGTGATGATCTGATTCATCTCAATGTTTTATATACACCCTGCTGGTTTACCACACATACCTTATGCGTGAGTGTTGCACTGAATGAAGTATTGGGAAATTGGTCTTTCTGACTGAGACGAAATTGTTTTAGAGAGCTGTAAGGGTTACCAGTCTGAGAGGAGGTGCTGCAGGCCACTTCTTGCATTGTTTGTGTATTTCCTGTGAGTGGGAGGTCTGACTGTCAAAACTGGTTGCATGAGTGACTTCAGTTTTGAAAGATAAGAACATGAGGGGCTTTGATGGTATTAGCTTGTTTTTTCTCATCAGATCAAACCACTCTCTGTCATACCCACTCTGTATTTTAATCCTCTTTGGCTCTTTGGTTGATTCCCGTTTTGGAGGTGTCTTCATGGAGCAGACAAGGTTCTTTGTGTAAATCTGATATCTTTTATTAGACCAACTCAAATAATTGGGAACATTTTTCTTTGCAAGCTTTGGATATAAATACCCTTTGTCAGGCATAAATTCAACTTCCTTTTCCTTAGAAATAGCAGACAATCGGTGCGCGTGTAACCCTCTCATATAAAGGACCAGGTCGACCTGAGGAAAGATGTATTTGAAACTGAAAGCCCATTGGCTCTCTTATGATTTTATTTTGAACTTTTTATTTCTGTAGTTTCTGTGCTTCCTTTTCTTGCACTGCAGTACATGAGATGGGGCATGGTTTACAGCTCTCTCTGTTCTAAGGGTGTGTCTGCATTGTGCCATTAACTTGGGGTTTTATCCAGTATTTATCCTTACTTCTCCCCAATTTTGCACGCAGAAAAATCTTTAATTCGTGTTTTGGTAGCACTTTCGGTCCTGGGCTAGGTCTCTGGCTGTTGTGAGGCAGGAAGTGGGAGACCTCAGGCTTCATCTTGACTCAGGATTGGACTTACTGTGCAGTGAAGAGGCCCGCAAAGCTTTGTGAGTGCTGGTAGTCCTCCAGTGCCTTCCCACAGCTCCCTGCAAAGGACAAGTAAGTTCTCTTGCAACTGTTACAAAAGAATCCTACAGCATCTCTGTACAAAAAGCTAGTAGTCAGGCCCACAGAGATTAATACGTGAGATCAGAAACAATTAAGTTGTCGTAACACTCAGAGGGATTTGTAGTGAGGAAGCAACCAGCTGGGTTAGGTTAACTTGGGTGATTGTCACCCATGTTAAACTGTGCAGCATAGACATAGTCTGGTTTTGTTTGCTGTGTCTGAACTTGGTGCCTCCACATACCAGAGACCAGCCTCAGAAAATAGATTTCTATTCATAAGGTAGCTGACTGTATTTCTAACAGTGCTGGCTGTTCCTTTTTATTTTGATGGTTCACTGTAGTTGTTGGCTATTGTGTGCTTAAATATAATAAACAATGCT